CCCAGAAGCAATCGCCAGACTTGCGTTAGCACCCAAGGATGATGACGGTCTTCAAGAAGGCAAATGTATTTCCTAGGCCTTCGTACATGTGCAAGAGGTCTACGGCAATTAAGAGGACATGTTACGCGGTATTAACGGGCCTTTACACGCTATCATCAGTATAAACATTCTCCATGCTATTTCCTTTACAATTCGTTTGGTGCTGACAAGGAGAATTTAGTTAAGAATCAAAGCTTCTTAGATAGGTATTCCTTGATCTCAATGAATAATTCAGAACAGTGATACTGTAGGTAGGAATGAGAGGCTGGTCACTCTAAGGGTTTAAAAAGTTATCGATTATCACCTACCTTTTTTTCTTTTTTTCTTTAGCTGAAGCTTCAATCCCGAGAAAAGTTCTTACTACCGTGGAGATTCTTCCTGGTAAACCATTTCACGTGACTCGCAGACGAGGCAGAGAAATACAAAAGGTAAACAAATACTTTGTGGAGTTGAGACGGGATGTTCCAACCTCCACAGTCATTGGCTTATACATTAAAGGTCCCCCCGGTTGTGGCAAAACCCAACTAGCAAGGCAGGTTGGAGAAGAGTTTGAACAGAACACTGCACCGCGGGGTCATTTCCAAAATGTGCCGTGTGTTGTCGCTACGTTGCAAGCACAATCTCCTGAGGCAATGTTAGAATCCTATAAAAAACTACACGAGAAGTTAGAAATCCCTAACGCACACGAATGTCAGGGAAGTGTCCGCGAGCGGATCAAGAGTTACATGGAGGATGTTAAGAATTACCTTCGAAGGACATCATCAGTTTGGCTTTTGATCGTCGATAATCTAACAATCAATGATCCAATGAGAGAATTCTGGCCTTCTCCGGGACAGGAAAGCCCATGGGGGGAGGGAACAGTCTTGGTCACGACTCAGGATAGTGAACTCGTCCCCAGATCCCACGTGCATGCCAAGAGTATGCCGCTTGATTCAGGAATGGAAGAGGAAGACGCTATGGAATTGTTAAGAGTCATATCAGGAATGGATGTGGATGAAGATGCTAAAAAAGTCGCTAGTTTTCTTGGATATTTCCCACTGTCTCTAGCTTGCGCAGCAGTTTATGTTGGGCAAATGAGAGAAGATCGCCCGTTATCAAAGTTTTCTTGGATATTTCCCACTGTCTCTAGCTTGCGCAGCAGTTTATGTTGGGCAAATGAGAGAAGATCGCCCGTTATCAAAGTTTTCTTGGAAAAATTATCTGTCGAACCTCCAAAAGTACTACGCGTATCTTGATCATTCTGACTTCACACATCACAATCCATGTTATCCCAAAACAATGCTAGCAGCAGCAGAGTTCGCAGCCAGACGGATGGCCGAAAACAACAAAGTTCTCCGAGCTGCCTTCGTGTTCCTTTCGTACTGCTCCCTACAACCTGTTCCGTTGGATACTGTCGCTGATTATGTCTTACGCGAAGCTAAAGCCAGGGTGCCAGATGACGTCAAGCTGAAAGTAGCAAGGTGTTCGTTGCTAGTATATCCGCAAACAGGAGAAAGGGGAATAGAAGTGGTCACACTTCATCAAGTGATGCGGATGGCGTTCTCTCAAATCAGGCGAAACCCAGACGAATCGGAAGGAAACGTTGATAAATGTGAAGCTTCTAGTGAGTCTCTGAAGAAAAAGGAATTGAATGGGGTACTTCAAGCCTTAAACGAAGCCTACAAACAAAAGAGGGGTCAGTTAAAAAAGGAAGATCTCGCTATAAGGATTCTGTTGTGTCCACACTTGAAAGAGTTTGTTGAAGGAGTGGAGGTGGTCCAGTGGCTTGAAGAAACTTTACTTGTTCAGGCGTTGGTTCACTTCGCAGATGGTCTCGTGCACGTTGCTGG